GGCTTTTTTCTTTTTGCTTATGTGGTGCTGAGAAATCGAACCCAGGGCCTCAGGCATGCAAGGCAAGCGCTCCACCACTGAGCCACCTTCCCAGCCCCATGGTTATTTATTTCTTTTTGGCCAGTCCTGGGGCTTGAACTCAGGGCCTGGACACTGTCCCTGATCTTTTGCTCAAGGCTAGCACTCTACCATTTAAGCCACAGCACCACTTCTGGTCTTTTCTGTGTATGTGGTACTGAGGAATCGAACCAGAGCCTTACACATGCTAGGCAAGCACTCTACCACTGAGCCACCTTCCCAGCCCTTGTGCTGGTTATTTCTGAGTCTCTCTTTCCATCACAGCTTCTTCAGCTGAGCTAAGAGTCTCAAGGGCTTTTCTGCTTGAGGTTGCCTAGAACTGAAAACCTCCCAATATCCTCCGTCATTCAGGATGGCAGGTGTGTGCCACTTATGAGTTAAGAAGGGGTTTTGTAGACTTTGCTGCTAGGGCAGGCCTCTAACTGGGATCCTCCCATTCTCAGCCCCCCAAGTAGTTAAGATTACAAGTGTGAGTAGGGAAGATCACAAGAGGTGGTATTGAGGTTCAAATGAAGGCCCTCAGACCTGTTAGGCAGGAGCTCTACCACTTGAGCCATGCCACCAGCCTATTTATGCTTTCATAGTTTTCTAATAGGGTTTCATTTCTGGCCCAGGCTGATGTTGATTATAATCCTCCCCTCTACAGGTGCCCACATAGTTGGGCTGACAGGTGAGGTATGCTTGATCAGGTCCAGTTACTGGTTGAGACTGGGAATTTTGGCTAACTTTTTGCCCCACTGGCCTCAAAGGCCAATCCTCCTGATCTCTGCCTCTCAAATAGCTAGCATTACAGTCATGATTCACTGCCTTTGGCTCTGATGTTCTTTTAGTAGCAGTTTTAGAGGGTGCTAGAGATTAAACCCAGGGCTTCGTGTGTAAAGATCTATGACTATACCCCAATCCCCCTCAGCATCGCTTTTAATAACTAAGACTGGGGGAGGGGGACCCAAAATGTCCATCAGTCATAAAACATAAAATGTAACGTACTCATTCAGGGATGTAGTATAGTAAATGAGTGGTCAGCAATATCAATAGAACAGTCTCGCTGGGCGCTGGTGGCTCACACCTGTAATCCTAGCTACTGAGGAGACTGAGATCTGAGGATCATGGTTCAAAGCCAGTCTGGGTAGAAAAAGTCCGTGAGACT